ATATATATATATATAATTCAATTTTTTAAATAAAGATGTTTCTGTAAAATAATTCATTTTCTGTTAAAATAGATGTTATGTATTTTGCATTTAGATGTAAGCATAATTGTCTTGTGTTTCACTGCAATGTTTTTCTTATTTAGTATGCTGAAATTCGACATTCTTTAACAACATCTGGTGTGCTTTTATGATTTAACTATGCTTTTTGCGTTCTTACTGTAGGTATTTTTACATGTTTCAGTCAGAAGCCAGAAGCTGTTCACATAATAATTTTATATATTAATACCGCTACGCGCGAAAACCACTGTGAGAAACATCGTGGTAATTAAAGGTTTGCATTATAATTGCAACATGTTTTTATGTGTGTGTGTGTGTGTATATACACACACACACACACACACACACACACACACACACTCTGATTTACTTGCAGTGCTCACAAAAATGATTATTCTGCGGGCGATATAAATTTTTAATTGATTTAATTGATTTATATTACATTACAAATTTTAAATATCATCAAACGATTATTAATGTTGAAAATCATCTATCTTTACTGATGATTTCTTTAAAAAATAATATACTATACTATACTATATAAAATTACATGATGCACGTTCGGATTCTGACAATAACGAATATCTTTCTACGCGTATATAATGTATTTATTTATTAAAAAGTTTCCTATTCATTTTTTATAGAGCCTATCAATATGCAAGACACTAATGGCGTAGAAAATAATGCATTTGTTTGCTTCGCGATGGATTACGTCAGTTAATTATATTGAAAAACATTTGAATACTCTGTATTTACAGTTCAACTTTTCACTGAGAAAACATTGACTCCAGCTTCAATAATTCGAGCAATCTATCGATTCCACTCGGATTTAGCTCAACCAGGTTTCTCTCGGTATAGAATAGGATTCCTTTTACGATCACCACGATACCGAGACCAACTACATGATTTCTACCATGGTTCTGCTTCGTCTTGCATATCCCGTGCGCGGCTTCCCCCTCTGTCTAACGGAAGAAGCGTGATAAAATTTTATCTCTCTTGTTGCTGACACGATCCAAAAATAACGTCAATACTCTTCTGGCTGCAGTTATTTTCCTTTCTGTTTCGTTCTATCGTTGTCATAGGTGACTTAACCGTTTCTGCGATCGGCAGTAACTATTTAGATAATCGTATGCATGTGCCCTTTTGTCGCGTGATTTTTTTTTTGACACAAAAGCATTGCATTCCTGACGATCCGATCGAAATTTACGATTTTTTAACAAGAACGAACCAAATCCATAAATATCTAAACTAAATGATTTCTTGAGATCTTATGTCTTTTAACCATAAATTATCTTGTCAGTTTATGCTACTTCTATTAAAAATATGAATATTGTTATGAATTATATTTGTAAACAGAATTTAAAACAAATGTATAGTTTACAAATGTCTAATTTATAAACTATAACTATTGTTTCTAATATATAATTCTAATATATAATTATTGTTAATATATAATTATTGTTTCTAGTTTCTTTATATAAAATTTCAAGAAATTTACTTTTGCAAAATAATTTTAACTTAATCTCTCATTACGTTTTCCTTTGAATTTTAAAATTAATCATTTGTACATAAAGATGTCACTTTTTGAATAGCATTATTTTTTTTCTATTTTGTAGGACTGTAGATTTAAATTTAATAAAATTTACATTTGATAAGAGTATTATAAAATAAAAAAAATTATGCGTAGAATTAATTTGATATTAATTATTTTTAGAACAAATTAATTTCCAAATGTTTTAAGTGAATTATTTTGTTACGCTGTAAAAAGTGATTAATATTAATAAATAATTTTTATTTTGAAATTATTATTTTACATTCAGAAAATTTATTGAATTTTTATTCTTTATGTAGTTGGTTACTAAATTTGAAACTGAATTTTTTGTTAAATCTTGTTGTTTAATCTAAAAATTTAAATTGGACAAATTATTGATTATTCTGACTATTATCGCTCTCGTTTTTCTAACTCAGTTACTGAATGACAAATATACGTATTACGGAGATACTTTTTCGATGATTAAAATTAGCGTTAAATGAATAGCTTACAATTAGCAACTTCGTTAATTAGCAATAACATGATTAGTAGTTATTATTTTATTAGTAGTTATTATTTTTCTGTTTACGCATGTCTTTAAAAAAGAGAAAATGAAGTTTTTAGTATATATATATATATATCTTTTTTTTTCTGATTACGACATGGAATTTGGATAAGGGATTAAGATGTAGATGTTTGGCGATAATTCATCAGGATTTATTCAACAAAGGAGTGCGTCTTAGCAAAATTTCTATAAGAGCAACTTTGCAACTAAATCTGTACATACAATTTCTTTCTCTGAAACGCTGCTTTTGTTTAAAATATTTAACAGCCAATATAATTTTTTTTTTTATTATAATTTTCTTTCTCTTTTGTTTTTTTTCGCACGAATGCCGAATGATTCGAGATATGTTGTATAATAATTAAAAAATTAAGTACGTACGTTGGTTACTTTCTGGCATGTTTCCTTTTCTTTCTCTGATAGGCACATACTTCTATATCGTGATCAATTTGTAATCTATTACGTTAAACAGTGATTAAAAAAAAAAAGAAAAGAACAAAGAAAGGAAAGGACGCGAGCAACCGAACGTTGATGATTTTCCCGCTGATTTTTAATTCATGAAAAAATTAAGACAAATAAGACAAAAGCAATTCAAATGAATTGCGGGTATGTCGATCTCGCTGCCTCAGTCTTTCGCAATGAGAGGATGATCCGATTTTTTTTTGTGATATCACTGATACGTAAAACTTACACGCACGCATATTTACAGAAAAGATTGAGAATGATTCTCTGCGGAACTTGCAATCTTAAGACTTTTGGAATTGACAACTAGGCGAAGTTACTTTTCCTCCTCATCGCACTTGTAAGAGGAAATTAATTTAAAGTCAAGTTAACGAGGACGCGACATGCAATTCGCGTATTTCTCTTTTTATTTTGAAATCTTTATCCTTTCGAATGATGGCAGTCATCCAAAAACGATGACACTGATGAAAAAAAGCACACGTTAATGAAAGACGGACAGGTTGCAAGGTCGATCGTATTAAGAGTAGTCCTTGAAAACTGTCCGTAATTTTTTTTTGTTCTCCTAGATTAGCACATGCACACACTTTCTTGCGATCGATCATCATCGACAATCATTGATCTCGCCAAAGGAAGGATCTCTCGTTTCTTGGCACTCACACGAGTTCTTCTTGAACTGTCTTCTAGAACACTCTCTTCAAATCAGCCATATAGTCAAAAGCGGAAGAAACTTCAAACGATCTCCTCGACATCGAAGACGCGATTTTCACTTATCGGACGCAGGGTGATAATGATATTTCTGTTACGTTCCTATTGATTATTCGAGAACAATTTTTCTTTTAGTATTTTCTGATAACTTAAATGATAGCAGGAACCCATTCTTGGCCACTTTAACGCGCTTTAATTTCTGCCGGCTAAAGTTTAGTCTCGCGTGGAAGATCGGGTAAACTATTGCTAGGTGCTAGAAGTCCTAGGACCTCTGGAGTCTCTCTCCTTTCCTTAGCCAAGACTGTACCATTAGAGCCTTTGAAGATTGGCTTGTCGTTCTCGTAGTTTTTATATAGCGTGCTGCTGTATTTATCGATACATTGCAGTATCGTCGAAGCGGGTAACATTGTAGGCGGTTCCAGAGGTGGCGGTGGATCGTTTTCCTCAATGTAATTGATATGAATGCCTTCCAAGATGTTCTGACCGTGCGGACTGGTCGACGATAGCTCGGTCGGCGTGTAATACTCGCTGTTGACGTCTTCCAGACTCACTCCTGCCGCCAGATTGTCGATCTTCGCTTTGAAATACGTATCCATGCCGTTGAGAGTGTCCTTAGTAGGATCGAATATCATAGAGTCGCTCTTGCCGCATGAACCGCTTCGGCAATTATCAAAGTACAGATTTGGCAGATTCTCCAGCACTTTGGCCAACGTCTGCTGCTGATACTTGTAACTCTCGCGCAATCGCAACACCTGATGAGCGCTGAACTTGCGGATCTTGTTCCGTTGGAAGACATAATTCTCGCGTACCCAATTCAGCTGACTGGTGGAATAGTCCCGTACTCTTTTCACCTGCGAAAGAATAACAAAATAAACGCGACTAGATATGTATCTATTGTATACAATCTCGCATTATATAATTAATGCGACTTTTTTTTTAGCTTTTTTATGTTTTCTCTTAATGGAGAATCATTTCGTCAATGTCAAAAAGAGACGTATCTAATGAATTTTTTATTACTTTACGCGTTGTAACTAGATTATGATGAGATAGAAAGTAAATATAGTAACAAAAGCAATTAAACTAATTACGACAAGCACAGTCCCGCGCAAAAATCTCAATGAGGGATTTGCCTATCGTACCTGATCATAGTACTGATCTCTTAGCGCGGTCAGGTGGCTAGTACCGTAATCCCGTATATCTCGTATATGCTGCATTTGACCCTCATAGCTGTCGCGGATCCATTCCACTTGCTGAACGCAATTGTCCTTAATTCTATGCACCTGCTGTGTGTAGTTCTCTCTCAGTCTTTCGAGCTGCTGGCTCTTATATTGCTCGATATTGTCGAGCATTTGGTAGATCTGCTTGGCCCGTGGAGTCACGCCCACGCGTCTGCAGCACATGCACCACTTGATGCATCCGCACCTGTGAGATTCACGAAAGAAAAAACATGTTAAACGAGAGGGTTATGAAAGAAACAAAAGAAGTCGGAATCGTCAGGTGGAGTCGGTTATCGATCATGTCCTGACCTTCCATCGATTTGTTCGCTTTACTCGTCAAAGTTGACGCTCTTGATGTGGTTACTATACTTATCACTCGAATTGTTTAATGGCTTTATTGACCGACACATGTGGGCATATGATATAATCGCATAGATATTCAAGATCGCGAAGATATTCAAGAAGAATATTTTTAATATATTCTTACATATATTTTACGTGTTGCTATGAATACTCACTTCACGAACAAGTACCGCAGCAGCTGTACCATTAATGTCAGTAGAAGAAATGCCACAGCGCAAATTGCGCCGATGAGGATGCTAAAGATCTTGATATTGTATAAGGTTATTGGGTCCATGTGCAGCGTTATGTAGACGGTCTCATTAGCGATCGGATTGACTGCCGTACACTTGTACTTGCCCACATCCTGCCGCAACAGCGTTGCGATATAAAGGGAGCCATTCTCCAAGACGCGAATACGGTTGTCATCGATGACCGGCCGATCTGTCCGCCAGCTGTGCACTTTCGGATGTTCGACGAATGCATCGGGGAAGCCCGGATCTGGTACCCAATGGAGCACTAAACCGCTCGGAGTTACCCAGGTCAAGGAGGGCGCGGGATTCCCGCTGAACTCGCATTCCAGCAGCACCGAGCTCAAGAGAAGATACTGTTGAGTTTTAGTAACCTGCACTAGAATTGGTGGACTGCACTCGAGATAGCGTAATGTCTGCAGGATGTTTACGGTGCTGTCCATCTCGTGGCCGCATTTGAGCCCGCTTTGAAAAGCTGCTCGCAGATGTGCTCTGCTCTCCGCCCATTTGACGAACCAAAACATGCGGCAATCGCAGGCCCACGAATTGCCCTGTAATTGTAGCTCATCCAGCAGCGGTAAATGTGCCACATTCGCAGGCAGGAAAGTTAGCTCGTTGTTACGCAAATCGATTCTACGCAAGGACGGTGTTTCATTCAGAGTCAACTGACCGATCTCTCGTAATGGGCTGTTTGTAATTTCCAATGTCTCCAACTCGGTCAAACCAGCCAGATTTTTGTTTCGAAGATTCTCCAATTTGGTTCCGGATAACAGGAGAGTTCTAAGTCTGCTGACAGGTCGCCAGATGTTATCGGGCAGCGACGAAATCGGCAAACGACTCAGATCGAGCCAGCGTAGATTGATGAGGCTTTGAAACGCGGTGTCCGTGAGATGTGCGATCGGATTACTCTCGAGATCGAGGTGTTGCAAGGCCGTCAGATCGTTGAAGAGACTACGTGGTAACGCGTCGATCTCATTATCGGCGAGATCGAGCACTTTCAGTTGCACCAAGCCGGAAAACAGCCGCGGCGGCAGTTTTGTCAGCCGGTTGCCGACCAGTCGTAACTCTTGCAACTGTCGATTCGGCTGAAAGCTATGATCCGGCAGCGAGACTAGCCGGTTACCACTGAGATCGAGTCGTACAAGCTCTTTGGCGGACGAGAACGCCTGATAAGGCAGTACAGAAAGTAGATTCGCCGCCAGACGGATTTCTTGGAGGCGATTCAGATGATGAAACAGCTGTTGCGGCAACGCGGCCAGCCGGTTTCCGGTAAGATTCAGGTACTGAAGTTGATGCAATGGATGGAAGACGTCCGACGGTAAGTCGGCCAGCCAATTATCACCTAGATCGAGTCGTTCGAGATGCGGGGTAGCACCGAATACACCGGACTCCACTCTTTCGACGCGGCTCGACGACCAGATCAGCCGTCGTAGCTTGATGGTCCTCTCCAAAGCGGTTGCCCGAATTATCTTTTCTTGGACATTTCTGAGCGACACGCTCGTAACGTCTCGTGGTAAAACGAGACTGGAGAAATTTCGCCCCGTGCATCTCAGACTGCTGTTGATATCCGCACACTCGCATCCCTCGGGACATTCTATTCGCGACAATGACAACGCGTTTGTCGACGACAGCGTGTTCGAAGGTGAACCCGCGACTCGCACCACCGCCACTACTATGACCAGAAAAACCAACCACCTCAAGCGTGGACCATCACCTCCCCTTGCCACCCGCACCCGCATTCCTAAAACCTGCAATATGACGATTTGCACAAGTACAGCGATCTCCCATGTCCTGACGGGTGGGCTTTTCCTCGCGAGGGATTTTCTCGAATTATGATCCGTTACGACCGCGCTTCTTTCTTTGCCCGATTAAAGGATAAAGATTTTATTTATCCGTAAACAGATTATATTTTTTCTATTTCTTGGTTTCGTTTTCGCTTTCTTTCTTACACTGCTTACAGTAGTAGTTTAAATATATTGATCACTCAACCACGTGTTCGCGAACGTCGTCGCATCCATCACCTTTCGCAACCCTAAGAACTTTCGTTCCTTCCACTATCTACTTGCCAAGAATCGCGATTGTATTCCCCGCAGACTACCCCGGATATATTCCTTCTTCGAGAAAGAAATCGGGAGCAACGCGAAAAGAGAGTCGTTGAAGTCTAACCGCGAGTAATCCGGCAGTATAATACTTCGCAACGTCGAGATGTCCTCCGACGATGACGATGCTGACGATGGTGGCGAATGAATGCATGGGCGATGATATTCCCGTCGGTGCCGTCGCCGCTTTGCGCCGGTAACATAATTGCGCCCACCGCGTACCGTATTATGTACCGTGTTGCGCGTTGCACCGTCACCGAGGATCAGAAGTACGAAGAAAATACCAGGTCTAAGTTTACGGAGAACGTTAACTGATGCTCTCACGCATGCACGCAAGAATGTTTTATTTTTCCTTCCTATTCCTTCTTTTTCTCCTTTTCTCTCTCTTTCCTTCTTTGTCTCGTCTTCTTTCTTTCCTGTTATTCTACCGCCGGACGCGATAACCGTCTCCGTCAGTGTACGGCGTCGTGTGCAGCAACGCCGCCGCCGCGCACTACTTGACACGCGTGTCACATGACACGCTCATGCATATCGCGCTCCCGGTGGCCGGCTGCGTCCGCCCGCCGCACATCAGATGCAAAAACCGACTATGGAGCGAAGCTCTGGCTACGACTCTACCGGAGCGGATTCTCCTCGTGGCGAGCGCCGGTTTAAGCAAACCGGCAACGTCGCCGACTCCCCAGTCAGTTGGCGCCGACGCAGACCTTGCCAGTATGTTTCTCTGAACAGGATTTAAGAGAGAGAGAGAGAGAGAGAGAGAGAGAGAGAGAGAGAGAGAGAGAGAGTATGAGAGAAAAAGAGGGAGAACTGCTGTGAAAGAGTGGCTCAACGAAAGGTATAGAAGGAAGGGAGGGTTTCATATGGAAGGCTGCCTTGGGCAATGACTGTGTCGAATGCTTGGTAAGAGTTTGGGATTTCTCAGCAGGCCGTTTCTACCCGGAGCTTCGAATCTATCGAATATTCGCTAAGACTTGCTCCATTTAAATCCGATTCCACCAATGTAAAGTTAACTTCAATCTCGGTTTACCTTACTATTTATTTTTTCTAATTCTTAGAGTTGAAAAAAGATAAAGAATAAATTAAAAAAAAATCGAGATAAAGTTAATCTTACATTAGAATAATGTGTCTTCTTATATTTGTATCACATTGGCGCAACGATGAAAGTCTATTTCAGCGTCATCGATTTAGGTCCGTTGATTGTTTTCTTGAATATTCTTGCGAAGATGCGTCTAGTTCTATCGTCTGGCATTTCGGACACCTTGGCCACAGTAGCTATCTTCGAGCTATTGCCATACTGCGATCGACAGTCTAAAATAGTTGCAAGTTCAGTGCCAAATTAACTGTCAGCTTTTGCTAGATTACCGACATATTTCGAGTACGACCGAAGAATCATTGCGTTTTATTCTTGATAGCTCGCTTTTATTAAAAATGTTTCATTTTTAAATCTTTAAATCTTTAGGAGAAACCTAACAACCGGATAACAAAATGTAAAACTGATTAGCTTATAACTGACATTATTGCTTATAACTGACAATTCAAATTTATGGTTAAAGTTAAACGAGTTTGAAAAATCTGTAGTGAATTACTTAAAATAAATCTAGAATTTATTACACAATTTAAAAAGCAAAAATTTCTTGAGATTACAAATGTTTCTTTGTTTCTTTTAAGATTACAGATAGAAGTTTATGAATAAGACTATAAAATTACGAACTTTCAGAACTCATCCAGAATAAATTTAGAGTCGCGAAAGAAAGAAAAAATTTTGTTCTTGGATTAACAAATAGTGTTTCCCAGATGGAGACGTAGAATCGTAAATAGAATATCGCATATAATAAAACTTCTATGAACTCATTTATAATGGCAAAAGTTTAGAATGTAGATTCAAGAGAGATATTCTACATACGTTTCTAGGATTATAAATAGCTACTAGTGCGATTGTATTTAACGTTAAATGTTTTACACATCGATTCATTTTTGAGATCGAAGACAATACGTCTCACGATCTTAATGAAGATAAATGCACGGAGATAAAGAAACTTTCGACAACTGTTGTGCTAACAGACCGGTCGGCCTCGAGTCTGCGGGACTTAAACTTTGATTCTCACTAATGGAACCGGTCGTGCAGACGGTAGAATCTCACGAGCATCCGAGCCAGGATGCTGTCATGCTCTTGTTTGTATTTAATCAAATCTATCTCGCCACGGTGCCTTGATGTCTAGCTGTCGTGTAAAGCTTTTCGAGGAAACACCTACTTTTTCTAGAAATTAATCATTCCGAAAAATTTGCAGCAGTTAAACAAAATTTAATCGAAGTCTTAAATTAAAAAAACACACGAAATTAATGTTATAAATTATAAAATACTAATCTACAATTGTAGATATATAAAATTATAAAATTACTTTCTATACTCAAAAAATAATATGCCAAATTTAATTTCTAATAATAATAGTGGCTTTATAAAATAGCTTTTATACATTCAGCTTAAAAAATTTTGTAGGTATATAGTAATTGTTAAAAACAATAATTCGATATGTTATAATGTATCTGTGCATTGCTATCTAAGGTCTAAAGGTTGCTATTTTCTATGTATTTTACGCTTTCTATGTGAACATATAAATAGACATTATACAGATATTATTAGTGTACGTGCCATAGATAGGAAGCATGTATTCTAATCGCAAAAAAGAATTAATCATTGTTACAATTTGCTTTATCGAATTATGAACGTCGTGACATAGTCCAGCCACTTGAAATATAATCGCAATGACGCAAGTGAAGAACGTCTGCATTTTCACTTTTACTTTAATGTCGCCGCTTTCCCGTGAAATCCGTTTGTTCGCTTTTATCATGTACTGCACTTCGGAAAAATAGCATAGAATTTTCATCGTCGAAGTTATTTATAAAAATGTCACGTACGGATCTGGACTCCCGTAGAATCGCCATTTGCTGCTATTTCGTTGATTTCTGTCTGAACTAAAAGGTATCGTCGCGTATTTGATGTAGGAGAGATAGAGGCGGGTGTCCCTTAGGTTTCCCACCGTGCAATATCGATCCATGACCTAACTTTGTTCCATGCTTTTGCCATACATTACGATGTACAGGCCAATTAGAGTCAAATCGGAAATGTCGTTCAACGCTGAAAAAATGTTGTTCAACCTGAAAGAAAGACGCAGATTTAGGATAACCCGAAATTGGTTTAGAGAGTCTTTTCGCGGATCAATGTTTCGATATGCTCGCTAACAAGAACGAATCTAATTTTCCGCCAATTCTGAAACATTTTCTATCACAATCAACATTTTCACTCAGAGAAAAAGATATATAGTGGTGACAAAAAATTAACGGTGACAACTATATTTAAATATAGAATTTTATAGTGTAGAATTAATGTACTTAGTTGAATAAACTATTTTATAATATTTTATTGCAACTATGAAATAGTTTATTCCACTAATTATATTAATTCTATATATTATTAAAAAAAAAGAGTCTGG